CTCCTTCTGCCTTATCCACCCAGTGGTATCACGGGATACCTGGACTGGACGAGCATCCAGTCCAAGCAATAGCAATTCTTTAAATTGCTTAATGCTTCATAATGCTACAGCTGCATGCTCCTTGCGAATGAATATGAAAGCAAATACAAGCATTTGGATTAAGAGAAATTTAACGTGGAAACCTTTCTATTGGCGATGGTCTGGTCATGACCTAGGGATGTCTATCTCAGAAATCCAGCTGATTGTATCTGTGCTATTTTCAAGATAATTTGGTTTTAGTGGACAGCATTGAAGGCGCGCTCTGACTGGCTTTAAAACTCCGAATGTTCTTTGCCATTCACCTCCGTTTCAGGAATAAATGATTGAAATCATTTTTTTATGCTGTATTATCTCACTTTTTTAGAATGTAGTAAAACAACTATTGACCTCAGTGTCGGTGGGTAGCGCCACCTTCACGTCGGTGAATAGTTGTTAATTATCAACTTAGTTGATAATGTAAATTGGTCACCGTAAAGAGTTTCTAAAGCATTGTTTCTTTGGAAATTTACCCCCTTTATTCATGTGTTATTTTCAGCTGTAGACGGTTGCGTGGTTAATTGGATTGAAAGCAAAGCTTCATTCGGCGATGAGTACAATCACCAGACGAATTTGAAAGATCAGTTTTGGAGTTACTGGAACAGGTAAAGCGATGAACTTTAGAAGCTTTGCGTCATAATCTTTCACTGGTTTTTGTTTGTGTTTTTTTTGGCCTAGCGCCATTTTATCTCCACTTAAGAAGGAACGCACGCAAAGTGAAACCTAGGAAGATAGGATAATCCCAAAAGACTAAAGAAGACACTGGACTAGCGTAACGCGCACGCTCAAACATTTTTAAAACATTTAGATCTATGAATTCGCCCGCATGTGGCGTACAAGGTTATAACGTGTGCGAATGGCAGGTTTTATTGTTTTCATCTCCAAGGACCAGGAGTTTCAATAAAAGCAGGTTATAGGTGGTCCACCGCTGACCGTACGACCTCTCACTGCTGTCTATCCAGCTTGCCAGCGCCCCCCTTGTATGGGCAAAGCCGTTCAATTACTCCATCGGCAGCCTCTAATCGTTAACTGAAAATAGTTGAAACTCCCGAAGGACCTCGTGCTGATTGATAGCCCTCGTGTTTTCAGCTCTCCTTTTACGTTCTTCCAAGTGGAGTTGGGAGTATGCAATACGAATTCAATTGGGGGAAAAATTGAAACACATTGTAAATGGCAGACCTAAAACTTGTAGATCAAACTTTTCATTGTTCCTACTGCGGCTCAGTAATGATAGACTACGCGCAGTCCCTCCTTTTGCAGTTTCTCCCTTCCTTCGCATGATTAAAAAGAAATCAGTGAAAAAAAAAGGTTGATGTTAGCTTGCTGCGCGGAACTCTAGGGGTGAGGCGCACCAAAAGTAGGTGTCCCAGAGTTCCACGCAGCGCCCTAACCTAATTTTTTTTTTGCTGAAGTTTTTTGACTCGCACAACAGATTTCTCCGAAAAGAAGAGACTGCTCGTAGTCTATAGTGATTAGAAATTATGCGCCTGGTTTCATTTCGCAGATTTGGTCCAGGCTTGGTGATTTACTGGTTTGGATTCATCGATGAACTCGATTGTAACCGAGAGCGTGGAATTATCTTAAAAGACGACTTCCCTACAGATATCATAACGCTAGAATCCCTTTTGGAAACTTCCTGAATAAACCAAACTGTATGAGGCAAGAAAGAATCTTTATGGACTGGAAAGACGGAGGTGAACCAACAAAAATTTCTGATTTTGGACGCAGGATTTGTTAGCGCACGTCTCGTGTGCATAAATCAGGACTCGATAGCGAAAGCGCTATGCTTAATCCATGCTTCAATTTCCTTGTGTGCTTCAAGTTATGGGTTTTAAGCTGTATCACTGAGCTGCAACGAAACTGGCGTAGTACTTCTCTAACTTCAGCAGATTAAGTCACACAACTCTTATGGTCCAGAGTTGTTGGAGCGCGTCCTGGTCTGTGTAAAATGAAACAGTTATGCATGTTGATGCTCTTCCTGGACAAGATGGAGAGTTATAAAATTTCCCTTACAGTGTTCTGGTACGCACCTATACTGGGTGGAGACAGCCTCTGTGAATCTAAATTATCTTTTACAAGAGCACAACACAATGAGCTCGATAGAGGTCTACCGGACCCTGTTGCTCACGAGTGACTGGCATTTAATTTTCCCTTTCATTATCCTGCTGAATCACACTTTAAGGCCATAAGAATAAAGGAAATGGTCACCAACTGTTGAACGTCTTGTTGTGTAACAAATTCTCCATGTCAACATCACAGCAAATGTAGATAGAATAGTATGCGGAATGTGCATATCGATGTTAGGGTGTAAAGGGTTAAATCTCAGGGGAGCAGGGATGGTGCTAGGCTACGTATTTCCGGAGTTTTTTTGGGAATTTAAGACGTCAAAAAGATTTTTAGAAACTCTCGGGAATTTTAGAAAAAAATTGACAATTTCGAGAATTTTTAGAGCAATCTGAACTTTCACCTGACATTTTGGAAACTTTTCACAGGCAAACATGTTTACAAAACGTTTTTGTTTGTATTCCAACCCACCAGGAGAGGGGTCAGTCCGTACATATTCCTCTTCAGCGGCTATTCACAAAATAGGGTCCTACAGTGCATCTAAGCAGCGGTTTGTCACCGTAGTTTCGGAATCCGGATCTTTGTTTGATAGCAAATACTTTGCAAATTCTTATGAGGAATGTGAGCCATCTACTAGCTTAGCAGAAGCGAGAGAGAACCAAGTTGTTTCACTGCTAGACCGTCTTAGACCACCCGATAGTAATGATTTATCGAGAAAGAGAAAAATCAATGTAAACAGACGCGGAAAAGGAGGGAATCGACGAAGTGTTTCTCGGAACGAGAAGCCTAATTACGCACCACAGGTCTCAGCCAACAAATGACTTGAAGAGTTCAGTAAGGAGTCTTGGCTAGCAATATCGTTCTCTTCTGTCAGGCTTGTAAAGAAGAAATCTTTGTGAAGAAATCAGTAAGGCCATATCGCGAGTAAAAAGTACAGTGCAAATAAAGAAAAGCTTGCCAAAGCAAAGAAAAGGGAAATGGACATTGCTGAGGTGTTGGACAAGTTTGACAAAGAACACCATCCAAGGGGAGAAACGCTACCCACGGGCACTAGAGTTTATCGAGTAAAGATTGTACAAGCCTTCTTGAAGAGTGGGACTCCCCTTAACCGACTTGAGTACTTAAGAGACATCTTTCAAGAAGCAGGTGTGACCTTCACCTACCGTCAAACATGCGAGAGCTTATCCCTTTCATCCCCGAAGAGGAGTACAAAATCTATTGCCAAAGAACTACTGGGGAAGGATGTATCAATTATATTTGATGGAACGACTAGAGATGAAGAAGCTCTGGCTATGTTGATCCGTTATGTCCATGAATGGGAAGTCAAAATGCGCCTAATGCGATTTCAACTTGATAGGAGCTCTGTTAATAGTGACGAACTTGCCAGGATAATTATTGAAGTTCTGCACCGGAAGCTGGATGTTCTGCAAAACAACCTGATGGAGCTATTTCCTCTCAGCCCAGCCCTACAGTACAAGTGGTACAACTATGGGCTCCATCGATGTCTCCAGCCTGCGTTTACATATTTCCTTAACACCATGAGAACTGATCTAACCGTGTCGCAGTCTACGGCTCTCTTCAAAGCTGCACAGCTCTTCAGTCCAAGATGCATCAAGATATCAAGGCCAACTGCCATCGATGTCGACTGGCTGAGGGTTGTGCCGTTCCTGAGTTCGAATGATGTAATACAATCTCTGAAGGATGAGCTCCCAGATTACATTGCCAAGGCCAATTCTACACCTGATGTCTTCGACGACTTGACTGACACGCTGCCTTGGTGGAAAGCTACCGCGCAGGATCTACCATGTTGGGCTGCTGCTGTGCAGAAGATGGTTTTCGTTCAACCGTCATCAGCTGCGGCAGAGCGGGTTTTTTCTATGCTGGTCACTATGTTTGGGGACCAGCAGCATGAGGCCCTCGAAGATTATCTTGAGGCAGCCTTGATGCTACGTATAAATAGTCGCTAGTTTGGAGGCTAAAGCAACATATTGATAGTTTTGTATTTTGTTGATTTGGAAAGCAGCACAACGGAAATACTTTGCGGAAATTGTTCTTGTTATTATTAAAGTGACTGATTAGGAGCTGGTTAGAGTCTCAGAGACAGGTTCGGTGTGAAGGTTTTACCTTGAAGTCTTGTACGCTATTTTTTCATGTCGATTCAAGAGAAAGTTTACATAGGATATTCGTTTAAAAAAATATACACAATACACATATAGGCAAACGTTAATTGATGTTTTTGCAACTTTTAAACAATGACAATAAATGATGTTTTACGATTAACAACTCATTGTTTCTTGTTATATCGCTATAAGAAACGAAATTTATAAGAATTTTCGGGAATTTTAGAGAGTTTTTGGAGAATTTTAGACATTTCTAAGAGAATTTTAGAGCTTTTGTTTGAGAAATTCCGGAAAGAATTTTAGACGATTTTTCGGGAATTATGTAGCTAAGCCTAGATGGTGCAGTAGTGAGAGCCCTCGCCTCCCACCACTGTGGCCTGGGTTCGATTCCCGGACTTTGTGTCACACGTGGGTTGATTTTGTTGTTAGTTCTCGTCCATGCTTCGAGGGTTTTTCTCAGGGTTCTCCGGTTTTCCTCCCTCTACAAAAGCCAACATTTTAATTTCCAATTCGATCTGGAAGTAGTGGTCAAGAAGAGCCTCCTAATGGAATTCCCATTGTGAAATTCCCACTTCGTATTTATTTATTACTAAATCTCTTAGCCATCTCATCACGCTACAGACGCCGTCCCCCTCCTTTCGATGTGGGAAACCTTTTGTTAAGTCGATTTTTTAGCCCAATCCTAGACCATAACATATTTCCCAAAAAGGTTTTATTTTTCTTCAACATTTTTAATTAACAACAGCGACAAAAGTAATAATAATGACAAAACAAAACAAGAAAATTATAGTAAAGGTCCTTGCGCTAATATATTTCGACTTAACTCAGAAATTTCTCTTAATTTACAAACACATGTTAGTGTACACTTTTTACAATTAAAAAAATAACTTTAAAACTCAAGTCACAGTTTTATCCGTATTACTTTACAATTTTTAACTTAAAAAGGACGCGATGACCTCTCAAAGAATATCTCACTTGAATCGTTACTGTTAGGGTAAACAGAGAAAGACTCTGTCATCAGAATCTGTTTTCCTGCGTTAACTTGCCTCTACTATACTCTTTCGCGCTCTCAGTCTTACTCGTTTACCTCTGCTTGCTGTGTTCCTGCTCGTTTGTGATGTTTCATCTCGACCCATGTTCCTCTCGGCAACTCTAGCTTTGTAACCTTGAAATGTTTCGTTGGGTCTTAGTAGCAAAGGTACATACTGGACTTCTTGCGGGAGCCCTGATTCGTTTGGGTCATTCGAAGGTGATGGCATGGTCCGTTTCTCTACCAGGACGTAGAAGCCTTTGGATGCGAGGTACTTACTCGCGTAATCGTTTTTGTGGCTGCTGAGATCTAAGACAAGACCTGGTAAAAATAGAGAGCAAGAAAAAATTGTTAGACGTTTTTAGCGAAACACAGAGGGGTGGACACTGGGAAACACTGTGAAACAGATGTTGATGTTTTGTACACGGAAGATTCGTCAACATAAATTAGAAAAATTTCAGAGTTCAATGAAAGCAGTTTTCAATTGAGTATCAAACATGACTCTGGATTGTTTCGGTTTTTCTTTACTTTGCTCTGTGATTGGCCCAGAAAAACTTGTGCCACCATCTCAACCAATCAAATATAAGACTAAAACCAATCCTATCTTCGTCACTCGCGTTTCCCGCGCTTCAAGCAGGTTGCCAGTTTTAACTTGAGTTCTCATTGATGTTAACCTTTGTTCTGATTGATTGCTGCGATTACTTGGGTTTTGGTTTTGGGACACTCAATTGCCCTGATTAATTCCAGCCCTGTGAAAAAACTGTATTCGCATGTGATTTTTTCTCGCCAAAAAAATACAAAGAGCAGTGATGTCAGCGGTGTTGTTTATAACTTATAACCTACACTCTCAAATATATTGTTGGAAGACTTACAGGCTCCCCGGCCCCTCTCGAAAAGAGAAGAAGGGGCGAAAGAACATCATGAACGTCGTTTTGGACAAGTTTCCTCTTTAATTATGTCTGGGAGTGTACGTCACAATTAAGCTTCTGGTTTGGGCAAGAGGCCTAAATCGTGGAAATAAAGTTTCCTTTTTCAAAATTTTCTCGCGTATTTTGGACGGAGTCATATCTGCGGCTAATTTTTAATTGTCTTTCGTTTGACTCTTTGTAAAGGCTCATTCCATGAACGCATTAAGAGTTAATTTGTTATTAAAGCTGTGTTTCGATAGGTGCGTACGTCCATGCTTGTGAGTTGTAAACGCGCGGCGAATTCTTCTTATCTTGCCTTTTAAGAATACTTCACTGGAAGCCATCATGTTAATTTATGCGTTTAGTCTGAAGCTTTTAATTGCCACTTCTACAATTCGCCGATATTAGCCAAAGTCATTAACAGTTAATTACTAAGTCTGCTTTTTGTCGCTGAAAGTGCCGTGGGAAATAATTGGTTATTTGTTCAGATAATCTGGGATTTTGTCTTCTTTGCATAGATAATCCCTTCTTTCGCGCATCGTGTATTAGGTTAGCGTTTATTGTGATTACAGAAAAATTATTGAGCAAACAGTTGAAAAACTGCCAAGCCTATTGCATTGCACTGACGAAGGAAAATATAATTAGCTTGACCTGAAGCAGTAATGAAAAGTATTTGTGGCTCTATAGACATTATGAATCACTCAAAATTAAAGCCGGTTGAACTTGCTATTTACGATTTTTCCGCGAACGATATAGGTCTGATTTTGTTAATCTAAATTTCAGCTGGCGTAGAAAGTTTTATTGGAAGTCTAAGTCAAGTTATAAGTATTTCATCTGGTTGTTATTTGTTTGTTTGTTTGTTTTTTTTGCATTGTTGTTTTCCGATGTTAAGTATGATAGTTCGTGAACACTGACTGAAGCCCAATGGGTAAAATTACACGTCTCCATAGCAATTTTATGGGTCTGCGAAGATCTTGTCTCAGAAAATAAACAAGATTTACCATTCCTTTTAATGAAGAATAGGTTTAGTGCCCGTGCCAGACGCTTCAGATCGTCTCTTGGTAGGAAAAAAAAAGCAAAGTGGTTTTATAGCTTGTTAATTTTCAGGTTGATGGCCCATGAAAATTAGCGGTGTTATTCTGTTGAACCTTCTAATTAACATCTAAAAGCTTCTAAAAACAGAGAGGACAATGACATGTCTACTTAAATTTCCCTAACAAGGAAACCGCAAATTCGTGACATGCTTCAGTAATTGCATTTAAAGCGAAATTCAAAATCTGACATTTATGTTGTCTGTAAAAAACCGTAGAGTCTCTTCGTAATCGATATAGTTCCTTTTAGCTTTCCGCTTCTTCGTCAGTTTTTAAGCTTTTTTGGAAAAAAATTAACAGTTATTCACCGTAACGTCTCTCTAGAACCATTTTTTTCAAGGATCAGAATTGATCTAACGCCAAGGTCATTTTAAAGTCATACTTTTTTGCTCGAATTACCTCACGGATTTCGTTCGAAATGAGCCAACTTGTTGCAGCTTAACCCAAACAAATAAAATTAAACGAACAGATGAAAGTTGAACCAAAGTAAACTTTCGGTTTTGGCGCATTTTCAATCAACTTTCTCGCTGTACTAATCGGAAATATTCATCTAAACGCTTCCTTATTTGAATTTGAATTAAATCAGTCATTCATCACGGATGTCTATCGATGCTTTTAAATCCTCTCTGAATTGCCTTCAACTTGCCGTTTAAGATTGTTTACTGTTAAACCTTCAGCTAAAGCCATTATGATAATTTACCTGTTTCGTCGCTCAAGTCCAGAACTCTATCGCTATCGCCATAACCGCAGCGCTCTTTGATCGAGTTCAGTAGGTTTACCACGGAACAGCTTGGGTTGACCAGCAGCGACTTCTGATCTCCGTAATAAATCGTTACAAACATGTTTGCAGAGCATGCATCGACGTCGTAACGAAGCAAAACAACTTCGTATCAACGCTTAACTTTTTCACAATGTCTTCAGTGTGGAGATCGTGTTATGGTCGCGTAACAAACGCTTCCTGAGTGATGTGCTCTTTTGCTACAGATATGCAGA